ATGATGATAATTATGGTACAGTAATTGGTACTAGTCTTAAATGAACAGATGGAACAAATAACCAGTACTTGAGGTGAATTTATAAGACCATAAAATATTTTGCAATGTATGTGTGTGTGTGTGTGTGTGTGTGTGTGTGTGTGTGTGTGTGTGTGTGTGTGTGTGTGTGTGTGTGTGTGTGTGTGTGTGTGTGTGTGTGAGTGTGTGTGTGTGTGTGTGTGTGTGTGTGTGTGTGTGTGAGTGTGTGTGTGTGTGTGTGTGTGTGTGTGAGTGTGTGTGTGTGTGTGTGTGTGTGTGTGTGTGTGTGTGTGTGTGTGTGTGTGTGTGTGTGTGTGTGTGTGTGTGTGTGTGTGTGTGTGTGTGTGTGTGTGTGTGTGTGTGTGTGTGTGTGTGTGTGTGTGTGTGTGTGTGTGTGTGTGAGTGAGTGAGTGAGTGAGTGAGTGAGTGAGTGAGTGAGTGAGTGAGTGTGTGAGTGAGTGAGTGAGTGAGTGAGTGAGTGAGTGAGAGTGAGTGAGAGAGAGAGAGAGAGAGAGAGAGAGAGAGAGAGAGAGAGAGAGAGAGAGAGAGAGAGAGAGAGAGCATGTATGTGAGCACATTGTTGTGCATGTGAACATACTGTACATGTACATGTGAGTGTGTGGAATATGAAAAATTTTCTTATAAAAAATAACAACACTTCATGTAGTTGTTTTACAACTATTTCACCCTATAACTCTTCTTTTTATGAAGGCAGAATGAGATGTGAATTGAAATACAAGAGGAAATGTTACACTGACACTCACCACATTACTTTTGTGATGAGAAAGTTTTCATAAGGGTTAAGGAATGCAAGAAGTAGGAACTAGTCAATATCTGAAATGAATATATAGTACACTAAAGAGAGAAAAAAGGAATATTCCTAAAGCAAGAACATTTTTCAAACCTTTAATCTATTTTTGTATGTTTGTTTTACTTACTATTTTTCCTACAATATAAATAGACTACACTGGAATAACTAATAAAACAAAACATAGTGCCTTAAAATGAACCCAAAATATCATTCTCATTTCAACATATCAATAGTGTCTCATCAATTTCATAGCAAAAAAAAAATTGTAGTAATAAATAAAATGAAAAATCTGGAATGTTTCCAATACACTATTATACTATAATTCCTATGAATGTTTCAGGTTTAACATTTTATCATTTCCAGCATTTAGTTGCCATAAATGTCATATAACTTACTGGTTTTACTTGAAAGACATCTGTAAATCTTGGTTATTTCTAATTTATGCATAGATTGGAAGAAATATTAAAAGAAAAAAAAAATGATGAGAATATAACTAAAGGAAAATCACAATAAACAAATATTTAACAAAATAAGAACAATTTGTGATTAATAATAAATATAAATTCCTTTGATTCATGCAATATTTTTCCCTGTACCCCTAAACGACAGGTAACACTCCAAATCAACAGCATAAGGGTAGGGTGGATACCACATTTCCAGGCCTTATTTTCTGAAGCAAATGGATGATATAGCTGTGGTGCATTCCTCTCTTATCCCCCATCCCCACAGAACCTGATAATCATTATAATAATGATCATAATTACCATTCCTGTATCATATTGATGATCATGATAACCGTTATGTTTTGCCTGCTCTCAATTGTTGCTTGCAGTTGACACATCAACATTCCTCTCATTTCTTATCAAGTAAGCCTGTATGCATTCTTAAGTAAATATCATATGCTTTTTTTCAACAGTTTTCAACTACTTGTGTTTATTCTGGCTAATCCTAGCCCTTCTTTTTCTTCTGGTTCTAAAAAAATATTTTAAGCACCACACATATGCTGTTGATTTTACATACTGCCTACCATTTAAGGGTTTATGGAAAGTTCTTGTCCATTTTGTAAAATACACCATTGTAATAATAAAAAAAAAAGGCAAGAATGAATAATTCCATAATCACTTTGACCTTTTGATAATACAAAACAGAAAGAAATTACAAAGAAGGAAAAGAAAGTGGTAAAAAATTAAAGGATGATGATAATACTAAAAGACAGAGATGGAGAAAAAGATCATCTAAATTATAGGAAACAAGTTCCAAATTTTAGGATACGTAACATGTTCAGGAGGTTCATGTATCAAAGTACACATAATACAACACAAACTAATCAATTCAGTACAATGCATAATATTCTGAATTTGTAATTACTGCAACAAAATGTACCACACATTAGTTTTATTTTGTTTATCATTAATTTGAACAGGAACCAGAATGACATAGTTTTGTTCATATTTACTTACTGAAAATCCTGAGATTGTGTTTATGGGAATAACGCTGTCCTCGAATAAAGCACCATAACAATACAATACCACTTAATATAGAACAATAACTAGCAAATAAAAGAATATCACAGACTATGAATCCAGGTGTAATTGTGAGACCCTGGATGTGCAAAATAAAAATATATATATATATATATATATAAAAGTTGGTTATTGGAAAAAAGGTGATTTGATAATGTTTATCCCTTTTTGACTTATGTATGTGGATAAGGAAGATGAGAGAGAAGAGAGAGAAAGAGAGAGAGAGAGAGAGGAAAGGAGAGGTTTCACAATACATGAAGCTCAGTGCCCTTCTTATTGTGGAATTTATAGCAATGACTCATATTAAGTGGTTCATTTCTGTCTGATAACTAGAGGCACATCCAGGCAAAAGAAATGATACTGCACCAACACAGTATTACAGAATATAGAATAACAGGATTGGCTAATGGACCATGTAAGGCCATGTAACTCCAACACTTCCTCAGTCCTAATAGAGGAGGAGGAGGAAATAGAAAAGAGAGAAATTTAATTGAGTGCCTATGTAAGTAGCTTTCTTGTCCTTTTCTTTTGTTATCAGAATGAATTGGTTTTTCTTCTTTTACTTTTTAAAAGTTTCACTTAACTGATGGAGAGCCATTTTGCATAGCACTGGTCTTTAACAATTATTTCCAAAATTCACTGTACCATCTTCCAATAACCACAAGAGCCAACCAAGTCTATGCAGCATTTCAGGCATTCATGGCTTACAAAAACATTTGAGGGTATCATCTGAAGCATCAGACTATTACAAAGATTTGCTGATAGATAAGCTGCACCATCAGATGCCTAACAGCCAACCTAATGTTTTCAAGACTGATATTATTGCACTGTAATGTATACACATATTACCTTCAAATACAAATGACCCTATATGGAAAACTATTGCAAGAGAGCACCAAGGCTGCAGAAGCACTGACTTCATGTGACAAAAACAAAAAACAAAAAAATGTTTCTGCAAAACTGCTTCCACAGGTTGGGAATCACAGATATTACAACAGTATTCCAAAGGAGTGTCTTTTTTTTCTTCTTTTTTTGTTCTTTCTTTTTTTTTTTACAATGGAAAAATATAAGTTGGAATAACTTATTATGAAAAAAAATATATTCTGAAGCATTTACAAGCATGAGTTACTGATCAAGGATCAATGCTCACACAATGCCTGCAAAATTAACAAACTTGACTTGCTTTCTTTCAATGTCTTTTGAGCAATAAAAAAAGAATAGTTTCACATCACTTCTGTATGTAATGGAAAATTTCACATAACACCTGATTTTCAATAAACATTCAGCCAACAAGACTGATACTGATAGTTTTTGTTGCAGACAGGATTTAGACTAGCACTTCTTCAAGAATATCATTACAGTACAGTACCTGTTTCACTATAATGTGACACTAGAAACTGGGAAAAAATATACATATATATATAATACATTCACTTCCGAGTTTTTCCTTAAAAATTTCTAACTGTGCCATCCATAGGAGAGTCATCAGCACAGTATGGGGCATTTGATGCACCGTTGCCAGAGAAGGAAAGTCCACCAAAGCCCATGCCAACTACCAGTTTACACAATGTGGTAAAGGTAGATCTGTAGTTCAGTGGAAACTCTTTCCATATAGAGAGTGAAAAAGGATATACAAGTAGAAAATAAAATGTTGATTAAAAAAATGATTCTGCAATGGCTTCACCGCCTAGACATACCACCCGCCTTCAGAAAGCCAGAACAAAATGCCTCTTTGGTGATTTGCGATTGTCCTTTCAGCCCCTAACAGAGGCCTTCTTTCCCTCTTTCCCCTCATGATGGGAGAGGTGACTCAGCCCCTCTCTGGTCCCAGTGCATCCCGCCCTGTAATCCTCCTCCTCCCCCATCAGGTATGCCCATCACCCCATTCAGGGGCCGGATCTCCTCGAGGCTGCAGACGTGCATCCCTGGGGAGCGGTAGCTAGGTGGCTTGTCCTCATACGATGCCCGCAGATTGACGTGGCCCAGCGAAATGTTCTTGAGCAGTGGTGGGTGGTAGTAGAGGGAGTGCTGTGGCGGCGGCAAGGGCTCAGCAACACAGCCCCCAGGATACAGGGGAGCCTTCAGGTACCTTTCGTTAATCACCTGTTGAAGGGGATAAAATAATCAAGCTGATGGTTCTGTTAAGAATACAAAAAACGGATGTGTCTGTCTTAAATTGGACTTAGAGAAGTAATGGTACTAAACTGGATAGTTTCCTCTCTACTCATGAAGCTTACAGGGTTATGAACATCATTTTGCAAAGCTCTTACAACATAATATATATAGAATATATATAGGCCAAGCAAATAAAATATAATTTTCTCTTCATCTTCTGCCCTATAAACAATAAATCAACTAATCTTCTTTTGACAAGTCCAAGGAGAAGGTGGCTGCTCGATAAAAAGAATTTTGAAAAAATTAAATACTGTAAACGTGAGTACAAAAAACAATAAGCACCATAGTCTTTTATGGGCCAAGTCAACTTCCACCAGTAAGACTATATTAGAAGTGTTAAGAGCTTTTCAGGATTCATTGGGCCAAAGCAAAAATCTTACTTGACATATACTTAGGATAGATAATTTGTAATGTGTAAAACTGATAGTTTTTCTTTTTTTTATATACAACAAATGTAAGTGCTGATTTTACTATAAACTTTGACAATAATTCATAGTTGTTATGTCTCAAGACGGTAGTACATATAAAGGACTTTCCTTAGCACACATTCTCTTATAGCTAAGGAAATCAAACTTACTAGTCACAACTATACTATGTACAAAGTAATATTCTCAAAACATATTTTTTCATAATTCAGTAAACTAACTTAAAGCCATATTAAATACCTGGGCCATCCTCTGCCTCTTGTTTTCCTTGGCCAGCATTCTGCTAGCCAGGAAGACTAACACAATGAGGATGAACCCTCCTGCTATGGGCACTGCGATGGTGGCTGCTCGGAACCACACTGTCTCCAGCATTTCTGATTCCCCTCTGCCGTAATCTAGGGGTATAAAATGGCTTGATGAGATAATGTAAAGGGTCAGCTTTGGGTTGTTGTGGAAGGTGTATCTCAAGGCTGAAGTATATGGTGAAAGGTGGATAATATTATAGTTGAGGGAGGTACATATGATTACCAAAAATTAGATAGATGTTGTGAAAGGTACATATGAACTTAATTAATAGAGGTGTAATGATGACAGACATGAACTGAAAAAGATATGAATACTTTTTGCTAAACACTGAAGTTATTTACCAACTATTTCAAATTCTGTAATGTGGTATGTACAATTGTGTGTATATGTATGAAACAGAACATCCCTAGAACTGACTTAAACCACATTCTTCAACAGAAGACAAGAGGTTTTTCCAAATATGAAAAAAAATTGTTTTTTTACTCAAAAATTTATGGCCTGCAACCAACCTATCTGGGTATTAGTCTTGTCTACCCTTATGAAGACATCCATGTCTCGATAATTGCACATATCCTGGCTACAGCACGTCAGATTGGGGTCAGCTGGAGGAAGGGTGGGACTGGCAGAAGGTGTAGGACGTGAGGCACTGTTTGAAGTAGTTTCTACCATCTTGGCTGATGTTTTCTGTGACCTCAGTATAATGCTCTTGTTTGAGACTCCAGCCTTAGTAGCACATTCTGCATGCCTGTCTCTGTGGGGGGAATTTTCAAAATTACATTTCCAGTGGACAATAAATCTACTCTCCCCATGTGTAAACATATATTCTTTGCTCTTAATTGGGAAAGTTTTAATAGAAATTAAGATTTTTAGAGAATATATTCCTTCTATACAAACAATTTGTTTATGAAAGCATGAGGCAAATACTTTTAGTTATGGTTTAGATACCTAAAAGTACACTGTGCTCTTCATAAGGGGGAATCACTGGGGGAAATTGTTTTCAAACAACACATATTAATAATTTATAAATCTTTAAAGTTCATAGTGAAAGCACAAAATTCAATTAGTCTAATTACATTGTATTAATTAGACCCAGAAAACATTTTCATTTACATTTACATTTAAAATATAGAAGAGAAACAGCTGCCAGCCAACTAAATCTACTGGCTGATGAAATGACTCTTAATTATACCCTGAAGTGTCCACAATTCACAACTCTGATTGGTCAGATGATTGAAAATACACTTATCACGTTCTCATTAGTTTTGCTACAAATCACGCTGCATCTAGGACAAACTATAGCAACTTCTACGCTAAGTTCTAACTTCTCTAGAAACAGATAGATACACAATCTATAAAATAACCCACACATTCAATGTCTTATTCATACATGCATACAAATCGTAGCACACTCACTCTTACAGACAGACAGACACATCCAAACACACCTGTATCCACCTAAAACCTTAACTCCCCTGATCTCTCTTCCATTCACAAATTTCCCACCTGATACCCTATACCACAATCCCATAGCCTGCACACCCACCCACTTCCCACTCCAGTCCCACCCAGAACACCTTAAATCCACACACTCCTATAGCATCTTGTTCTTTTTATCTATCCCCCCCCCACTATTCCTTACCCCTCACCCCTTCCTTCCCCACCCTCCCCCTTCAACTATTACCTCTTCGTTCCCTGATATACCCACTCACTCCTTCTCTCCCCACCCCACCCATCCTCACTCCTTCCTTCTCCACCCTCACTCTTTCCCTCCTCTCCCCTCCTCTCCCCTCCCCTCCCCTCCCCACCCACCCACCCACCCTCACCCCTTCCCTCCCCTCCCCACCCACCCACCCACCCTCACCCCTCCCCTCCCCATCCCCACCCCACCAACAAACTCACTCAGGCAAAAGCTCCAGGCATCCGTGCGTGGGCGTCCTCCGCTGGTAGAGCCTGCGGGTGGCGGGCGCGGGCGTGGGCATGGGCGTGGGGCGTGTAAAGCAGGCGCCCAGGGTGCTCTTGCACATGTAGCCCACCGTGACGCAGCGAGGGAGGTTGCAGTGGCACCGAACTTCGCCTCCTGTGGGGGGGAGGGGAGGAGGCGGGGATTAGTGTGTGGCAATAAGGGGCATGGCAATTATTGATAGTAATGCTAATGGTGCTTAATGTGGTTGTTTTTTGATATGCAAATGCTGATAGTTTTACTACTATTGCCGCAACTATCAATAACAATAATGATGATGAT